TCACTGTGCTGCTAGACTCTCCAGTATCTCACACACAGTCACTGTGTGCTAGACTCTCCAGTATCTCACACACAGTCAGGGTCTGAAATGGCAGAGAGCGGACTTTCTGTATTTTACTGAAGATGACTTAGTGGATTTAGTAGACCTTCTGTGTTTCATTTTCTGCGTGTCCTCTGTTTCTTGTTCACTGGCAGATGGACTAGCAATCCAGTGAAACAGGTTAAAGAAATTTTAATTATATGACATATTTTGAAAATGTATTAATATACTATATATATGTAAGTAATAAGTTTATTCCATGCTGAAAATAGAAGAAAGAAAACAACATTTCGGCCATGGAGCCTTCTTCAGATTTAAGACCACACCTGAAGTGATCTCACACCTGAAGTCTCCACAGCCAAAATGTTGTGTTTTCTCTCTTCTCTTTTCAGTATGGAATAAACATATTACTTGTTCCTTTGCAGCCTATGCATGCTGATGCTGCTACCCACCTGAACTATATATATACAATATATACATTAAATATAAATATACAAAATATCCTCTACTAGTTAAAGTAAGTATCTGTGTCAGCATGCGTAGTCTGCAAAGAAAGTAAAGATTTTTTTCCATGCTGAAAGGAGACAGAATGTTGTGGCTGTGGAGCCTTCTTGGGATGTGAACAAGGCTCCAGCGCTGAAGTGTTGAGTCTCTTTTCTTTTCTTTTAAGTATGGAATAACCTTTTACTTGTTCCTATGTTAAATATCCTCTGGATATGGTAATAATACTTTTCTCTGTCTCCAGGTAGAGCTGATGTGAGGCTGGTGAATGGAGCCAGTCCCTGTGAGGGGACAGTGGAGATTCACTATAAAGGAGAGTGGGGAACAGTACTTAGTGTTAATTGGGATCTGGATGATGCTGCAGTGGTGTGCAGACAGCTGGGCTGTGGATCTGCTGTTTCAGCACGAGGAGGAGCTCACTTTGGACCAGGGTCTGGATCAATCCTGTTGGGTGCTGTTTCCTGCAGCGGGTCAGAGTCTGCACTGAGGGAGTGTGGTAAAAGTGAAATGAAACAGTATAGCTTTCCTCATAGCTATGATGCTGGAGTGAGGTGTTCAGGTAAGAGACACAGACTCTCTCCAGTCTCCAATACCGAGACATTTAAAACTCCTCCACTGATCTAGAGTCCATTATCATGATCCATCTGTCCATCCTCCCATTCCCACTGCTCCTCTCCTGTTGAGAGCTTCTCACTGACAACATTCCTCACTGTCACTGTGTGTCTTTATTATAAATCCAAACTATAAAAAATTTCAACCACCTATCTTTTACTTTTTCTCTACTGTTATTGCTCCCGCTCTCTTACTGTCTACTATTAGCAAGGAATATTCTTAATAAAAAAATATAAATCCTAATAAAACATGAATTATATAGCAATTATAAATATAGGGAATAAATATATGTCATAAATAATATTTATTTTTCTGATAATTATTTCCATAATCATATTAAGGACAAAGTATACATTTAGCACATGACTCTTCAGTTTGAGAAAACTCATTTTTTCATGTGTTTGTACAGCAGGACAACAGGAAGTGTCTCTATTTCTGTCATTCTGAGCTCATCCTGTTTGTGGTCATTGAGTCTGTAAATGCTTCACTGTGTCTATATTGTTTTAACACTGGTGAAATGAGAGTCTGCATGGGTTCCAGTGGGCTGTGGGGTGAAATACCTTCTCAACAGCTGTCAGTGGATGTGGTCAGTCATTTCAGGTGTGTTTTAATGGTATTTTGGTGTCAGGTGTCAGTGGATCCGGTGAATTTCAGGTATATTTTAATGGGTTTTCATGGTATTGTGAGCTCAGTGTTGTAGACCTCAGTGCTGTGTCCAGGTGCTGTATCAGCTGGCCCAGGGGCAGATTCTTGGTGGTGGAGTAACTATCAGTCTGATACAGATGAGCCCAGAATGGAATTGTGGGATGAGTTCTCAATACTGATTTGTACCTAAATAGAAATTAAAAAGAGCAACTTCTGTTGGCTTTGTCAAGTTATTCAATGATATTGCTATTGAAGATTGGTCCTCTAACCTCTTAGCTGCTCTGTCTTATTGTAATATGGGCGGCATTATACTGAAGATGGGGAATTAACTCCAGATGGAGAATTAAAATTTAAAGATTGGCACCTTCAACAAAAATACCATTAGGGATTTGATGGTCCTGAATTTTCTTGCAATGCACTATAGCCAGGAGCTGACTGCTAGTCCCAGGTGTGTGTAAATGGTGCTGAAATAAATGACAGTGTGTATTTTGCTGAGACCTGCTTTCACGTGGAGAAGCACAACCCTGGTCATGTCCACATTGTCGATCAGTGCCCAGGTCAGTCAGTCCTGTTCCAGCAGTACCAGGCTGTGACAGTCCTGGTCTTGTCCAGAGTGTCTGTCAGTGCCCAGGTCAGACAGTACTGCTCCAGCAGTGCCAGGCTGTGACAGTCCTGGTCTTGTCCAGAGTGTCTGTCAGTGCCCAGGTCAGACAGTCCTGCTCCAGCAGTGCCAAGCTGTGACAGTCCAGGTCTTCCTCAAAGTGCCTGTTAGGGGTCAGACTTGTCAGTGACAGTGATCTCTGTTATTGTTCTGATTTTCCGGCTCATCAAAGGGTCAGACTGGTCAAGGACAGTGATCTCTGTTATTCTTCTGATGTTCCAGCTCATCAAGGGGTCAGGCTGGTTGGAGGCAGTGATCTCTGCTCTGGGAGAGTGGAAGTGCAGCACGGAGAGACCTGGGACTCAGTGTGTGACTCTGACTTTGACTGGCGGGATGCAGAAGTTGTCTGTCGAGAGCTGGACTGTGGGGTTCCCTCACAGGTGCTGAAGGGGGCTCATTTCGGGAAGGGGGGGGGAGAGGTCTGGACAGAGGAGCTCCAGTGTCAGGGCAACGAATCTCAGATTTTCTCCTGTCCAAAGTCACCCACAACATCACAGAACTGCACGCACGAGAACAACGTGGGACTGGTGTGTTTCGGTAAGAGCAGGATAATTGATTCCATTTATTTATTTTATTGAAGTTCCTAATTGAAATAACAGAAGTTAAGGAAAGAGAAACAACCCTCAAATTCCGTCAGTCACTGCAATATAAAGCTGCAGCTTGTCCTCCCCTGATTCAATGCCAATACAGCAGGGACAGCAGCCCTGTGTTATTTGATACAGGGGCTCTGAGTATCTCCTCCAGTTTTTTTCTTGAAACATATAAGTAAGGCTGAGTAATAGTAATTATATGTAAAATGGTTTTGTTTTGTTCTCTAAAATAAAAAATAAAAATAAATATAACTTAGACCTGTTCTGTTTTGCTCCTGAATTCAGCTGTTTAATCAGTGAAGAGTTGTCTACGCCTCATTCATCACCACTATATCTCTGTCTGAGTCTGTACTGTGGGTTTAATCAGTGAAGAGCTCTAGTCCTATTGATCACTAGTACTCTATTGAAGGTTTACTGTATACTTGAAGGCAGAGTTGAGGATCACTGCTAGATGTTGCAGGGAGATTTCGTTGTGTTGTGACACTGTCTGCTCTCCCCCTGTCCTGTCTGCAGGATACACAGGGTTCAGGCTGGTGAACGGCTCAGACTCCTGCTCTGGCCGAGTGGAGTTACAGTGGCTCTTCAGGGACTGGGGGACAGTGTGTGATCTCTACTGGGACCTGAGAGATGCCAGTGTTCTCTGCCAGCAGCTGGGCTGTGGGGAGGCTGTAGCAGCACCAGGACAGGCCTGGTTTGGACAGGGCAGTGGACCAGTATTGGCTGATGTGTTTGAGTGCCAGGGCAATGAGAGCCGTCTCTCACACTGTGCTGTCTCTTCATGGGGGAGAGCAGGGTGCTCTCATGGACAGGACGCAGGAGTCATCTGCTCTGGTGAGAATCATTTGATAAAACACAATGACACCCCCTCTGCTTATACACAGCAGCACACTATCTTCATGGTTGACCGAATAACTGCTCTGTTACATACCGCAGTAAAAGGATAGAGATGTTTGAATTTCTTTTCTTAATCCATTTCAGTGTATTATCAACATATATAACTCAAAATTTCTCCAAAGTGGTTATTAGGTTGCTGTGTAATTTTCTTTCTGAAGAGTAGATATATACAGTGCATACAAATACAGTGAGGAGTAGAAATCAAGTGTATATTTGTTATTCAGATCACCAATGAAAGAATGTCCTGGAACTCAGTATATTGTAATTAATGCCTGATCTCTGCAATTAATCCATTAACCCAGAGCCTAATTATGCAGGGTGCTGTACTAGTGTAAAGAGGGAATCCGGAGGTCAAGGTTTATCGAAGTATTTTTTGTGCCACACAACTGACACTCCACTGGTGAAACATCACTCCTGTGGACAGTAATGAGCTCCTTCATTCTCTTTTACAGACTTGAAAAGCAGCAACGATTCACTTGGCACAGGTAAAGGGAGAATAATGACTAATTTTGTCATTAATCAGTGTTGTTTTAATTTTAGTTTCATTACTGATGTTAACTTGTTTGATTCACATATAGCTCACACTGCTTTCCCTCTCTATGTGTTTGACAGGTTACCCATCTTCCTCTGTTCCTTCCTCAGTAACACCAGGTATGAACTGGTCCTTGTTCTGTATCTCCAGGGCTCTCAGTGTGCGTTGACATCTCTGTTACTCATTTCAGACTTTGGCACTGTGAGGCAGCAGGTGTGTGTGGAGTTTTTCAACACTGTCCCTCTCAACCTCTCTAACACACACAGTCAGGCTCTGTGAGGCAGCAGGACATAAAAGCTGCTTGCACTGCATCTGCTGCCCCTTAGCTGATGTTCAGCAAATTATCTCCCACTAGAGGTCACAGTGATCTCTTAGTACTGCATTGACTTCTGACCATTGGCCCCTTACCTCTGATTTTCTGCTCCTAGACCAACTGTCAGTAATGTTTATATATACTGTATACTGTATATGTGTTTATATCACTGGGTATTGTCTCTCTCCCAGCCCAGCGCTCCCTCAGGCTGGTTGGGGCAGGTAGTGACTGTGCTGGGAGGCTGGAGGTTTATCACAATAGCTCCTGGGGGACAGTCTGCGATGACTCCTGGGACCTGGCAGACTCTCAGGTGGTGTGCAGGCAGCTCCAGTGTGGGACGGCCCTCAGT